GTTCTGCAACTTTAAGCTCCTTATGCTTCATTATGCTAATTAAAGAATTTCCAGCTACTTTTGAACTATTTTACTTAAAATTTTGGCTGTTTTAGTTATTTAACTACAAATGCCACTTTTTTGTACATTTATGCATTTTTTTTCTGCCAATTTTACATTTTTTCCCACTGTTTGGGTGTTAATTACAACTTGTGGCTGCTACATTTAGCTCATTTTATGCTAATTTTAGCTTTTAGATCTTCTTTTTTCTATTGTTTTGTTTTTTTCTACTGTTTGAGCTTTTATTCTGGGAATTTGTGGTATTTATGTATCTTACAGCTGTTTTATGCTCTTTTTAGCTACTTTAGCTTTTAGCTTTTTTCTGCTTTTTCAATTATGTTTTTTGCTTCTTTTTACATTTTTTCTGCAAAGTTAGGCCTTTTTTTGCTTCTTTCAACTATGAAAATTTGAACTTGCTATGACACTTTTGAAATAAAAAAAATTTCAGCTCAATTTCAGGAAGAAGCATTCACACTAGCATTTTCGCAGGAAATGCAATTTCTCTAGTTATTATTATCTTTGTAGCTCGGCTATGGGCTAAAAACCACTAATAGCTGCATTTTATGTATTTTGCTGTTCACCACTGGATACAATTTAGAATGACAACAGTTTTTCTCACACCCTTTTGCAGTTTTTGGGCTTTTCACGTCCCTTATTTTGTCTTTTCATGTTTCACTTTTTATCATCTTATGTCTTATTGTTATTTTTAGTTTATTATATTTATTCCCYTAGTGCAGTGGTGTCCAAGGGCCGGTGTCCTGCACATTTTAGGTGCTGCCCTGGTTCAACAGAGCTGAAGGAGTGCTTAATTAGGTTCCTCAGTAAGGTCTGCAGAGGCCTATACAGTCACTCTTAGCAATCAGAACCACTRTCCTCTGGCTTCATGTGTTTTCTCCTGAGTTTGTAAGGTTTGATGCCGTGTCAGCATTATATCAATTTTTAAAGCTTTTTGTTTGTGAGCTCCTTGTCCACATTCATGTGTCTAAATCCACCACCAACCACTTTGTATGATTTTTGTCTTTTCATTTCTCCTTCAGCTCATTTCTTTTTCTTTGTCTCCTACAAATAGTTCGACTTTAAAAGTTCATCTTGTTCAAGTAGCTAATTGTTGACTTCTTAGGCAAATGTAATAGCATTTCACTGGTCTGGTGCTGAAACTTCAACTGTTCAAATTCTGTTTCTCTTAACTATTTTGCTACTTTAAGTTATCATTGCCTTGTTGTTCTGCTAACTTCAGCTTCCTTCCTGCTTGTTTTAAATTAAAATGTCAGCAAAACCACTCAGCATGCATGCTGATGGGGTGCCGTTTGTAAAGTTACACAGTCGAAAATGACCACCAATATTTTTGTTTTATTTAGCCTTTTATAAGTAAAAAAGAACAGATTTATTTTTCAAAGTCAGTTTTTCATCATGTGATTCATACATTTATAAATGTCATAGTTTATAAACTAAATATTTAACTTACAAATTAAATATTTAGTTAACAAGCTAAATATTTAACTTACAAATTAAATATTCAGTTAACAAGC